TTTATATTTTCAAAGAAATTAAAACCGTAAGTATATTGTTAAAATGAAAACTTAGAAAGTGTTAGGAGACAAAATTTATTGAGTGATACAAAAAAATTAAATGAGAAAAGAAAATTTGGACAATGATAAACAAAAGTTTTTGAGATATAATTTTATTAGGGAAAAAAGAGTTAGAGTGAGGAAGAAAAGATTTAGAGAGAAAAAAAAAAGTAAAGAGAGAATAAAGTTAGTGAGTGAAAAAGAAGTTTTGGAAAGAGAAAGTTAAAAAGAGAGATGAAAATTTGGCTAGAGAGAACGAAAAATTTAAAGAGGTAAAACTTGAGAGCAAATAAATTTCGGAGAGAAAAAATTAGAGAGGTACAAAATGTTTATAAGAAAGATAAACTACGTTAGATAAAAAAAGACAAGAGGACAATATTTTTGAGATAAAATATATAGAAAGTCAGTAAAAAATCGGAAAAAGCATTAGAGACAAAAATTTTAGAGAAAAACAATCATTCAAAAATTCTAAAGGTGTAGATTTTTTAAAAAGTTTTAGATAGAGACAATGACATAAAACCAACAAGAATAAAAAAGTTAGAGAGATGAACTAAGTTTTACAAATTGGAAACTTTAGTGAAAAAAGCATTTGAAAAAAAAATTGTGAAAAAGGAAAATTTTATTGATGGAAATATGTTCCGGCAAACACATTTCAAGAAAAATAGTTAGAAAATGATGAACAAAAATTTTGAAAGATGTTTGAATGAGGGAGATGAAAATAGAAAAGTTGAAAATTAAAGAAGGGAAAAATTTTACAGAGGAAAAAAAAGATATGAAATGGAATTTATTTTGTGTGGAAAAAGTTTGAAAGTAGGGGCACAAAAATAAAAATCTTAGAGAGAAGCTTTCAAGAGTCTATAACATTAGAGAGAGAGAGAGAGAAACATAGAAAGTGAAAAAAATAATAATAGTTTTGTGAGAAAAAATTAGAAATTGTAAGAGTGTAAAATTTTAAAAAGAAATTTTGGTGGCAGGGAAAAATTATAATATGAAAGGTACAAAAGGTTTAGAGAGATAAGAAATATTAATATAGGTAAGATAAATTTTTGTGGGAAAAGAAAATAGGACAAAAGTTTTAGAGAGATAAGAAAATGTAAAAAAAAAAAAGTGACAGAAAAATTGTAGATGGAAACAAGTTAAAAGAGAAAAAAAAACATTTAGAAGAAAAAATTTAAGACGACCGACAAAAATTTTGCAGTGATTAAAGAAAAAGACTAGTTAAAATCTTGGAGTGAAAAATAGTTATAAATATAGGAAGGGAAAAATTTTGAGAGAGATAAATTTGATGGGAAAATAATTTTAAATAAAAGTTGGGGAATAGGAAGCAAAAAAAATTAGATAAATAAATTCACTTTTTTCTTAGAATTATAGGCAGAAGGGAGGTAAATTAGAAAAATTGATTCCCGGACAATTAATTTTTTCAACAATCATCTACCACTCCAAAAATAATTTAATGTGATTTTAGTTATCGCTCAAATCCATTAAAAGATGAAAGATATTGTAAAAATTATTAAGTAAGATACTTTAAAAAGAACTTGAGAAAGAATTAGAGATAAAAAAAAACAAATTAAAAATAATATTTTACAAAAAAAAGGACTTTATATCTTCAAAAAAATTAAAGCCGTAAGTATATTTTAAAAATAAAAACCTTGAAAGTGTTGGGAGACAAAATTTATAGAGTAGAACGAGATGGGAGGAAAGGAAAAGTTTTTGAGAGGAAAGAGTTGAGAGTGATACAAAAAATTTAATGAGAAAAGAAAACTTTGACAATGATAAACAAACGTTTTTGAGTTATAATTTTATTAGATAAGACAATTAGAGTGAGTAACAGAAGGTTTAGAGATAACAAAGTTAGTGAGTGAAAAATAAAAGTTGTGGAAAGCAAGAGGTTAAAAGAGATGAAAATTTGGAAAGAGGTAAAATTAGGAGACGACGTAAATTTTTTAGAGAAAAAAATTAAGGAGGTACAAAAATGTTAGTAAGAAAAATAAACTACAGAATGAAAGAAAAATTGTTAGATAAAAAGCAGGTAAATTTTATTGATGGAAATAAGTGCTAGCAGAAACTTTTAAAGCAACCTAGTTAGAAAATGATGAACAAAAATTTTGAAAAACTTTTGAACGAGGGAGATGAAAATAAAAATTTCGAGCATAAGTTAAAAGGAGGAAAAAAATTTAGAGAGAAAAAAATATGAAATGGAATCAATTGTGTGGAAAAAGATTAAAAATAGAGGCAAAAAAATAAAAATCATAGAGAAACTTTTAAGAGTCTAAAACATTAGAGAGAGAGAGAGAGAGAGAGAGAGAGAGAGAGAGAGAAAACATAGAATATGAAAAAATTAATATATAATAATTTTGTGAGAAAAACTTAGAAAGATGGATAGATAAAATTAAAACTTTTAAAATAGAAAAATTTGTAAGAGTGTAAAATTTTATAAAGAAATCTTGGAGGTAGGGACAAATTATAATATGAAAGGTACAAAAGGTATAGAGAGATGAGGACAAAAGTTTTATAGAGACGGGAAGAAGAAGAAGAGGAAAAAAAAAGTGACAGAAAAATTTTATATGGAAGAAGTTAAAAAGAAAAAAAAATTTAGAATAAAAAGTTAAACCAAGGGACAAAATTTTTTGTAGTGAATAAGAAAAAGAGTTATAAACAGAGATATAAATTTGATGGGAAAAGAACTTTATATAAAGTTGGGGGAAGAGGGAGGAAAAACTTTAGCTAAATTAGTTCATTTTTTTCTTAAAATTATAGGTAAAATAGAAAAATTGATTCCGGTCAATTCATTTTTCTAAATCAACTTGCATCTACCACCCAAAAATTATTTAATGTGATTTCAGTTATTGCTAAAATCCATTAAAACATAAAAGATATTTTAAAAATTTTAAGTTACTTTAAAAAGAACTTGAGAAAGAATTAAAGATTAAAAAAAATGAGAGACAGACAAAATACAAAAGTTCCGGAGATTTAAAACAAGTTACAAAGAGAGATGCAGAAAAAATTGTTAGTAAATGAGAGGCAAAAAATTTGGCAGACAGAAATTTAGTAAAATAAGGGAAAAATTTTAAGAGAAAAAACATAGAAAAAGAGTTGTGTAAAAATTTACATGAGAAAAAAATTTACAGAATGATTAACAAAAGTTTTGAGAGGAAAAAATTAGAAAGTGGGAGACAACACAATTTTAGAGAGAAAAAACAAAGAGAGGGAGGTACAAAATTCTAGAGATAAAATCTAATTTAGTAGAGAAAAGTTAGAGGGGAATAAAAATTTTGGAGCGAACAAAAAAACAAAAGTTTTAGGAAGAAAAATAAGTTAGAAGGTGGGAATTAAATTATTTAAAAAACAAATATTCTAGAGAACACTTTAAATTCTCAAAAACATTTTTTAAATGGTAAGTAAATTTTAAAAAATAATTACAAAGATTTATTAATGAAAATTTTAGATGGAGTTAAAGGGAAAAGGAATTAAAAAAAAAACCTTAGAGAGTGTGAAATAAAAATTTCGGAAAGAAAAACTTAAAAGGAGAAGAAGTAAATTAAAAATTTACAGAGAAAATTTTAGAAAGCAGAGAAAAAATTTAGGATAGAATATCTTAGAGAGAAACAAAGTTAGAAAGAGATTAAAAATTAGAGAGAAAAAAGTTGGACAATGATAGCGAATTACTTTTGAAAAAAGTTTTATAAAGAGTGAGGGCCGGAAATTTAGAATAAGTTTGAGATTGAAGAACAAATTTTAGAGATAAAAAAGTTAGAAGGATGGGGATAAATTTTAGAGAGAAAAAAAAAAGTTGAAAGTCATAAATAAATTTTTCAAAAACTAAATAGAAAATTTAGAGGACAAAATTATCATAAAAGAATAATCTTTTTAAATTGAAAGTAAATTGTAAAACAAAAATTTAGAAAAGTTAGAGAAAACAAATTTTAGAGACAAGATAAAACTTTAAGAGAGAAAAAAGTTATTGAGGAAATAAAAATTTTGAAGTGAGAAAATAAGGTACAAAGGGGGTACAAAAATTTGAGAGAGAAAAAAAAGTAAAAGAGAAAATTTTAAAATAGAAAGAAGTTTGAGAGAAAATTTTAGGGAGAGAAAACAAAGAGAGAGATACGAAAACTTTAGAGAGAAAAATGGTTAAAATGTAAAAAAACAAATTTAGAAGAGTAAAGTTAGCTAGAGAGGGACAAAAATATTTTAGCAAAAGAAAAAAAAAAGAGAAACAAAAGTTTTATGAAGAAAACAAATTAGAAGGTGGGAATCAAATTTAAAAAACAACAATTCTAGAGAACACTTTAAATTCTCAAAAACATTTTTAAAATGGTAAGTAAATTTTAAAAAATAATTACAAAGATTTATTGATGAAAATTTTTGAGGGAGTTAAAACGGGAAAAAGAATTAAAAATAGAGAAAAAAACTTAGGGAGTGAGAAATAAAACTTTTGGAGAGAAAAAGTTAAAAATAAAAATTTACAGAAAATTTTATAAAGGAGAGAAAAAATTTAGGGTAGAATATCTTAGGGAGAAACAAATTAGAAAGAGATTTAAAAAGATTAGAGAGAAAAATGTTGGACAATAATAGAGAAATACTTTTGATAAAAAAAAAGTTTTTAGAAAGAGTGAGAGACAAAAATTTTAGAAATAGAAAATGAATGTTAGAGAATCAAGAATAAACTTTAGAGATAAAAGAAGTTAGAAAGAGGGGATAAATTTTAGAGAGAGAGAAAAAAAAAAGACACTAGAAAGATAAAATGAATAATAAATGAAATAATAAATTCATTGGAACAATAACATAATAAAAATAGGGCACTAGGAATAATATAGTCATCTGATGAAGAAGCCAAACAAATTTAATATACATAGGTAATGAATAATAAATTTATTAGAACAATTAGACAAGAAAAAGACACTAGAAAGGAAAATATATATGAAACACAAATCAGAGATAACAATGAAATAGATGCAAAATAATTTTTATAAAGGGGTGGAAAAAGTTATGACGTACCTTCATCTAGAAACTTTAAATCTGACATCGCAAACGTAGAAGATAGAAGCTCTGCTTCCATCTAGATAAATACAAAAAATAAAATGACTATTCATTCACTATAATTATCAAAACAAGTTCTTTCTAATTCTAACCAACTCAAGCCGAAGTGATAGAATATAACAACATCACATTCCTCTGGGTCACAAATCTTGCCAAATTTATTCGATCATCAAAGTAATAGAGCTACATAAACAAAGAACACGAAATCAACCCAGTTTTATACATCAGAATACAGTGGAAAGGAAATCTGCAACTTACGTAAGGATTTCATCGCCTCTGGTCCACAAACAGAGCATCAAGGACGTAATCCTCTCTCTCCTCGATCCTCCTCCTCCTCTTAAACCTTTCAATTAAACCTATAGAAAGAAGAAGTAGTTAAGAGCTGATTAGCATGAAAGAAAAGAAATAACATCCATACACTTGTTCGCCTTCTTCGTGAGATGTCCTGTAATCGTCTCTGTAATTGTAAAATCGATGTTCTTAATCTCCGGATCCGGATGCGATTTGTAGGTTCCGGTCATCCAGAAGAATGGTGCTGCAAGCGCTGACCGTACGATCCACTGAACAGTAGAAACAGATCGTTAAAAGAAAAGCAGAGGATGAAGACAAGACCAAATGGCAAATACAATACTCCATTATGATAAGTAAAGGAGAATTGGGAAAACATTGCAAGAAAATTAGTCAAAGAAAACAGAGTAGAGTATGGGATTAAGAACTTTTGGAGAGGAATAGAGATGGCTTGAGGAACAAGCTCCAATTCCGGAAACCCTAAAATTTGATTTGGCTCCCTCAAAACGACTATATTCAATTCCCCCGCTCCTCCTGACACTTATAACCGCTTCACCACACCACCCTCTTCATCTTCTACTTATAACTGTTTCTGACACGTTTCATTTTCAAGTGGGAACGATGCAGTAATGGATTTTTTAAAATAATATATCTTCCTATTTAAATCTAATACCATTTTTTTTCAACAATATATGTCAATTATAGCTGACTTATGCAAATCTCTCCTATAATTATCATCGAACTCTCTCTCTTATTATTGGCCAAGCATTGTTTAATAAAAGGTTATGGATTCGAATCCTTACCTCACATATCATTTAAAAAAAAAACACGAATTATAGAATTTTTTACAATTTAGGTTTTTTTTTATTTTATAAAATTTCAAAGTGTAATATTAACCATTAAAAATTTTTGCTTTTTGAATCCATGTTAAACTACCGTATCGACTTAAAATAACAAAAATTTGATGTAAGAAATTTGGGTTGGATTATAACAACTCATAGTTTCAATATTTGATTAGAACAACACTTGTTTGTGCATTTTTTGCAATTTTTAAGTGTTTAATCGAAACAATTTTGTAAGTTTAGGAGACCATTAATTGAAATTTGACGACGTGATTGAAACAATTCTAACAGTTTATTAGTATTTCTATGATTTTCCCTAGATTTTGTTATTAAATTCTTATTTTGCGCAACAACCTCTATAACAACTACTTTTTCACTAAGACAAAACAACAACTAATAAAACCAAAAACAGATAAACCACCTAGACTTCTAGACTACAGATAAAGCACCTAAACTATTAAGACAAGTAAGCTTCTCCAGACCATACAAACTCTTCATCATCATTCATCAACTATATAACTCTAAATCATTTCACTAATAACTTTCTGACACTCGAACAATGCGACAGATGACTATGTATTATTATTACAGGTAAAATACATTTTTAGTCCTTAAGTATGAATATGGATTTCTATTGGGTCTTTAGATTCCAAAAAATTGGGAACAAAGGAGTGGAAACGTCTGAGAGAGCGCTTCGCGAAAGAATCGTGTGGCGCGGTGAAAGGTTTCCCGTTGGGGTTTTTTGTATGAATATGAATTTCTATTTGGTCCTTAGATTCCGAAAAATGACAACTTTGTTCCCAAGCTTTGGTTCTAAAAGATCCTTAGAATCAAACTCATATTAGTATAACTAATGAAATGCTAAATGTGACGTGAAAATTTGGGGTATTAGATGACATTTATTGATGTATTTATTTCAAGTGAGGTGGCATTCGTGGCTTTGACTTTCTTCTTTTCCGTTTTCTTCTTCAACGGAAAATCACGAATCATCTCTCTCTGAAATGACTAGCAATCTKTAAATAAATATGGAAAAAAAGAAAAAAAAGAAAATCAAAGCTATTGCATGTTTCGAAGAAAACTTCACTATATTTTCAATACATAACACATAATTGGTAAGTAAACTTAACGATGTAAATACAATGAACCTCAGTCATCAATAATAAAATATGATTACCAAAAAATTCAATTCTCAGAATACCTTCGAGGCTGCCAATTTGTAGCTTCCTGAAAAACTGCTACGATTACGGAATAACTTCAAGATTTCCTCTTAAATACCTTCGTCTTCTAACTTACTCCACCTTCTAACTACCAATCTATGGAACAACAGTGATTAATTTATTCATCCTCCTCTTTTAAAATCCATGCAAGTTTACTCCACTGCAAAACTCTACTTCACTCCTGCCATTAAATTTGAAAGAACTTCTGTTTAAATTTAAACCTCTCATCCCTTTCCTCTATTGAAAGATTTCTCCCCTTGCTCAATGTCCTTCCCTTCTCCTGCTATGCTATCTCGAACGTTTCGGCCCTTATCTTTCAAGTTCTGATCTCAACCAGAAGCAAGTGATTTGAACCGTGCATTGAACGAAAACTTCACTACATTTCCAATATAGATCGCGTAATTAGTAAATGAACTCAAAGATCTAAATATAATGAATCTGAGCCATCAACAGAAAAAGAGGATTGCCAAACAATTCAATTCTCAGAATAGTTCAAGCACCTTTGTGTTACTGCATCTTCAGGTATCAGATTTCTGACCAATTTCACGAGTAGATGTGGAACCATGGGACAGAGAAGAAAACTGTAGGGCAAGTAGCTCTTCGCTACTATACTTCAACCTTTGATCTATTGCATAAGGGTAAGAAAGGAAGAAAGAAATCATATAAGCCTTGTAAACAATAACCTACTTAGAGTCAAGGATTAAATACTGACATTGGTTGCATTGATTTGAATGCCCAAAATCAATATTAACCAGAACATCAAACTTTACATCATAAGGAAGATATATTTATATCTGTTTTGTCAATTACATAGAGCAGATTTTATTTCGTATATAGGAATATGTGATATCTAAGAAGCATGGATATGGACACGAGATATGGATACGACACAGACATGGTGACACATCATTTTCTAAAAATTTGGGACACGAACACAACAAAAACACGTTATTAAAATATATCATTTTAATTCTGAAAGAAAATTCAAAGTCAATAAGTTTATGCAATTTTATACTTTAAAAAATGAGTTAGTATTTTATTCTCAATTTATTATTTTATCCTACGTTACTATTTAGGTCTATTTCTTACACTTAACAAGTATTCGATACGTGCCTAATAAATGTCGAATCTATATTCACTTTCTACGACTAATGTGTTGTACACATCTATTGAGCTAACAAGTGTCCAATAAGTATCAAAGTATCCGACACCGACACCAAATTGAAGTGTCCGTGATTCTTAATGTGATTCTTAGTTGTTATATATAAGATAAGAACTAATCCCAAGTGTCTATTTATGTTTTAGTTTGACTTAAAATCTTATATGAATTATTTGTCTGAGTTACATACCTACAAAATATGGTGACATGGCGGCAGATTTGTTCCTCTGGTTCAATTGTAATTTCTTTGGAGTAAAATGAGTTGAAGGTCGATCAGAGGAAGTTTGATCAGATGAGAAGTGAAAAAGTTCATGTCTAACTTCAATTTGTGGAAACCTTCGGTGAAATTCTAAAAGACCATCTTCAGTTAACAGCCAACAACCTCTCAAGTCAATCTTTTGTAGAGTTGCCGCAGGCTTAAGCAAATCAAACGCCTGGTTTGTCAAAACTGCATCCCGAATACTGAGGATTGTCAGCTTGGGCAAAATCGACAAGTAGCTCAGTGACACATCTGTCAATGAGGGACTTCTAAGCAGCAAGTGACTCAGCCTTCGGAATCTTGATAATGGGCGTAGAGATTCATCGTCCACATGAGTGCGCTCCAAATTCAATATTTCTAAACAATCAAGGTTTTGCAAGTCTGTAAATGAGAGATACTCATTTCCCTCCGCAGCTGATAGGTAAATGTAACCTGAAATTAGGACAAAAAAATATCAGAAGACTGCAAACTTCTCAGATTTAAAGAGCCATGGTGAAAATAGCAGCAACAATAGGTGCCCATGGTTTCGAATAAATTTTGTTTTGTTCCTATCAAATAACACWGAATAAAGGATATATATATTTTTAATAGTATTCAGTTAATGAAATGGCAATAGAATTACATGCACCGGCATGTGAAATCACTCACATAAAACCTGCACAAGGATATTGTGCCCTGGCACTAAGAAGGAAACAATAACTTCCTATGCAGAAGCATAAAAGCGTTCAGCACAATGACTGAAAGAAAGGTGCTAGATAAGAAGCTGATAGAAGGACTGAAAGAAGGTTCTAGATAAGAAGCTGATGGAGTTGGTGTGTGTACAGCGCCCTAGAGAATGAGCAAGGGGAATATGCAGCATACGTGACCTGATTAAGTACATCATAGCATTTTTTAGTACAAAAGCAATACCTTTAATGTCTGTTTCGCTGAGGTCAATGCTCTTCAAGCCAGGCATCAAACTTATATATGATATGGCAAAATCATCAATCATGGTGTGGGATAGTGACAAAGTTTCAAGGTTTGGAACTTTTCCAGCTAAAATCCCAACTCCAGAAGAGCTGACTGTTGTGCAGCTGAGGTTTAGATGTTTCAAATTTTCTCCAACGGATGCAATTAATCCAGCCGAATTGTCTCCTATGGCAGTAGAGCTAAGGTCCAAATGTTCCAATGCTTTCATATGAGGTAAGAAGCAGAATCTGTGAAGACAAGCATTCGAGAAGTCCAGATGATTTAGGAAACTGGTTCCAACAAATTCCAGGTCTTCAGTCTCGTTTGAAAATGTAGCTCCAGAGGCAATAAGCTTTCTTAGAGGAACTTTAGCACCAGACCCTTTAATAGTAGAGTCAATTACGCAGTTACTCACGTTCAGGGACTCAAGATGAGGCAAGTTTGGGAATTTGGTGACATTAGTCCAAGCTATATTCAGGAAGTTCAACTTCGGAAACATTTGTAGAACATCAGATCCAGTGTTAGATATTTTACTACCCCAAAGGTCAAGGTATTGTAATTTTGTGAGCACCTAAAAGAGAGTAGGACGAAAATGGGATTAAATTAAAAATATTAATTCAAAAATATGAATTGCAAGGAAGGAGCAATAAAATTTAATAGATTAAACAATAAATAGACAGAATTTACTTGGAACAAGTAAATAGTTAGAATGAGTTTGAGTGGAGAAATAACAATATCATCATCTATATACTAGATTGTTGTAGAAGCTATAATGCAATCCAATCATCAATTGGGACAAAACTTCATCAACAGAAACAATCATCTTGAGTAACCTATGCCATTCACAGATCCAATAGCCGTGCAATACATTATCTGTAAAGGTTCGCATCTTATCAAATAAGACTGACAAACCATCAATCCAGCATTATTTGATGGTGTAGACATGTGCAAGTGCAGGGAAGCAAACGCCTACGCGTTGAAACTGCAAGATACAATAGGTGTATACCATGCAGCCACAGTCCCACAAAGGAACATGGGATTCACAGTTAATCCAAAAAGGGAAACAGGAAAAACCTGAAGAGAACTCAGGGCCTGGTCGGTGACAGCTAGACCACCCAAATCCAAGAACACCAATGTTTTTAAGGAAGAAAGGAGTGTAACTCCATGTGCAGTGATGCCAGTCTCAGCAATGCATAGCTTTTCCAAAGTTGGTATGGATAAAAGATGCCTAATTCCAGCATCAGTAACTTTCGAACATCTCGAAAGGTTCAACTCCCTTAAAGTAGTCATCCCTATAAATAAGCATAGGACATCATAATTATCAAACTTAACTAAATTGCAGCCACTGAAATTTAGATGGCCTGTCGATGTCCACAGTTGATAAGAGGAGGACAGAAAGTAAAAAATATATTTCTTTTCGTGGAAACTACACGCAAGATTTCCACGGCACTGGACTAGTGGAGAAATCACAACAGGGTTAAGTCACTTCGACACAGAACTTTCTGTGACTTACAAGTCAGCCTTCAAACTAACATTTGTATCATTTTCTATAACATACCTGCAATAGCCCATATACCAGAACTAGAAAGCCTGTGGCAGTTGGAAAGATTTAATGATCGTAAGTAACGATATGCTCCTAAGTAGGCCATCCATTCTGAATCAACAGCATTTTCACCACTTAGATCAACCACCTCTACGGTAAATTTGAAAACTCTGCATCAAAACATCTGAGTTCAGCAGAACGTTAGTGAACAACAAGGATAACTTCCTAAACCTACTCAAGTATAGTTGAAAAACAGTGAGAAAGAAAGAAAGGACATAAACTTTGTTGGCACTCCCTGATGTATATCAGCTAATAAAACAGAAGAATGATGTTTTGATACATAATAATGGAGGCAAAAATGCCAAAAGTATAAGCTGTAGCTACCTCTTCAGCTACTTTCTAAAAGGTTTCCAGTAAAAACCAGATTGAGGACGATTACCAGCATCTCCATCAAGAGAAACTTAATTTTATCTCAACTAAGCTACGATTCTATTACGAAGCATCAAGCAGCAGGATCACTCCACGTACTTAATCAAATCCGAATTCATACAAATTTCAGGCATTTCGATCCAATATAGAAGTATTGCATCTTGATGAGAGACCTCGGTCTCCAATGGACAAAATGAGAGCCTAAAAATTCTGAATCCGCTTTCGATCGTTCAACAAACTTACTTCGATAGTCAGAAACAAAAATGGAGTTGAAACGTACTCGAGAATAGAAGGATAGAGGAGACGACGAGCGTGAAGACGGCGAAGGAGAGCATCGGCGAGTTGAGAGGGCAAACGCTCAAGGCTTCGCTTCTGCCTCCGCCACTTCTCGACGCTGTCCTTGCTCTCACAGGCCGAATTGATGCAGAATTCCACCAGTTTATTCTCCATCTCTTAGAATGTTTCCTGGATTTCAACTCTCCTGTCAATCAGAGAAACTTGTTCTTGTTCTTGGTTCCCAATCGCTAGATTTGGCGGACGATGAACCGGCTCTCTTTTCTGTTTTACTTTTATCCATGGAAGGAACGATGAACTTGTTAGTAAATTACATTTTTAGTCATCACAGCCCTCAATTTCTATTTTATGTTAATTTCCGTACATATACTTTTTATAATGTTTATTGTCAAGTTCGTGGAGTTGAAAAGTAAAAATTGAGTCGAATAAAGTTTCTAAAACCATTTTAAAGATGGTCGTGAATTCAAATCTTCATTCTATATAATACTAAAACAAAACAGTATCAATTATTCGATTCTTTATCTCTATTATTATTGAAGTAAAGAAAAAAAATTAATAAAAATAAAAGGTTAAAATTTATTTGTAGAAGTGACAGATGACGTCCATAGCCTAACTTTTTATTCTAAAATCTAATTTTATCGAATTTGGATGAATCATAATTATCGAAGATATTACTTTGGATTTTTGTTATTAACCATAACAATGAGAAGTTGAAGTTATAATAAGAAAAACGAGGGTGACAATGAGACTTTTCAAAACTTGGTAAACAATTAACAAATAAATTGAAGCACGTGGACTAAATTGTAGTTTTATTGACAACTTTTCTAAGCATATGGACTAGAACATAATTTAACTAAAGAGTTTCCTTTCTCTCCAAGCATCTTCTATACAAAGAAACTATTGTTATTTAAGAAAGGAGAAAAACGACCGATGTAGCTCACATAATTTTTTTTATTTTTTTATTTTTTTGAAGAATAATGTAGCTCACATTAATTAAACTTATATAGCTCCTCGTTATTTAAGGAAGGAGAAAAGACAACTCCATAAAGGATAGAGTGACTCACATTGATTAAACCTTTATAAATTTATTACTTCTTATTATATGATAATAAGTATTTCATAGCTCCACTAAATTCTCGATCATGTTTCTTCATTGCGCTCTCTCTCATTTCATTACGAACAATACTTAAATATTTATCAATTAAAATCTATGTTTGTATTAACTATTTAATTATTTGAATAACATAAAAAATACCTATGTTCTATATCTCTCTCGTCAAAAGTTAAGGGTGTTCACTAAGGTCTGTTTGATAACCATTTTAGTTTTTTATTTTTATTTTTTCTTGTTTTTAGTTTTTGGTTTTTGGTTTTCTGTGTTTAAAAAACGAAAATCATATACGTTTGATAACCATTTTTTGTTTGTTGTATTTAAAAAACAAAAAACCAAAACATTTTTTTGTAACCATTTTTATTTTTTTGTTTTTAAAAAGTTAGAAAGTTGAAAATACATATTAGAGAGAGAAAGTTTTATGTAGGGTAGTTTTATGTAGGGTAGAGATGATGTGACTACGAGTGAGGATGCTCTCCCCCATTGTCGGGCTCGTGAAAATTTTTAGTCTCCGTCTCCACCTCGTTCTTGGGTCCGAGAGATGTTCTCGAGAAAAATTATCGGTTTTATAATTGTTTTTAATTATTTTTAGAATTAAAATATAAAGAGTGTAATAAATATATATAATTATTTAAAAAATGGAATCGGGGACGGGGACGGGGTCGGGACATGCATTTTCTATTTGCGGAAATCTTTGTCTTCCCCTGATGTAGAAACATGAAAATAGATATGTAAATAAACTTTTGGAAGATAAATTTTAGAGAGATAAATAAAAATATTTTAAAAAAATAGGTTGAGAAAAGTTAAAGACAAAAAGAGAAAAATTTTGGAGAAAGAAATAAAGTCGAGAGGAGAAGATATGTTACCGAAAAAAAAGGAAAGGGTTATGAAATGGGCCTAAACAATGAGTATTTCTCGTTCATTTTTGGTATTCATCCCCTTCTCCTATAAGCAAATTTGTGACATCTATTCAATCTTCACTACTTAGAATGAAAATGCTTGAAAAGTAGTTGTCTTCACATCCGTTGTTTTCAAGCTACAAATGCCAAGTCCCACAGTTTAAGAACATATCAAAATTTTAAACTCGCTTTAGCATTAAAAAGAAGACACAGAGCTTTCAGTATTGTAATGAATTACTATCTTAAAAACAAGATACAGCAAAAGCACACCATGTTTCACAAACTATATTTGAGTGTGAATCAAGAAACTGTAGCAAAAGGCACACATTCTAAAAAGATACACAAAACTACTTACTTCACAGTACAAAGAAATGAGAACTCTCTCTTGCAAATCCTTTGAGAAGGCCATTTTTTGTTGGCTTTTCTCTGGCACTCAGCTATTCATTCTGTCTATAAAGCGCTGAAGAGGTGGAGAAAGAGGATGAGCACCATTTTCAAACTCTCTTCTCTCCTTTCTTCCCCCAAATTCAGCACCATTATTTAAACTAATTGCATCTAAAAACCTAAGCAAATCCATATCACGCGTAAATATTGACTTTCTTTTGAAAAAAACTGGTAAATATTGACTTTCTTTTGAAAAAAACTGGTGAGAAAGAGACCGCTCTGGACTTCGCTATCTATATAACTGCACAATTCTTACACCACTCCATAAGCTGCAAAAGGCTGTATGTGCTGGTATATCTCCTTGGTTTGGTTTCTGATATTATTCTCCCCCATTTAGGAGAGAGTGTAGCTGGAGACCGAGACGTTGGCTGGAGGAGCAGTGTGAATGTAGACGAACTCGAGGCTTTCTCCAGCAGCTAATGAGTTGAGCCAAGATGGGAAGACATATGAATCACCAGATTTCTCCAGACCCCAGAGAGGACCGTAAAGTTGGGATATAGAAAGTTTGAGATCTTTGAGAGTTTTCGGTGACTTGTTGATCACTTTTGTAGAGTATCTATAGTAAGTATTTCCTTTAGCAGTCCAGGAAGTCGTCATCTTCTGCTCTATGGCAATCGAAGATGAAGATGATACTGCAAAACAAGCTCTACAGTCAAATATTTGCCTTTCATCCTAATCAGTTTCTACTTTTACATTAAATTAGCTTTATGCAATTATTTAGTCATTCAGCTAGTTTAAAACCAGGTTGGTTGGTTGGCATGGAAAGCTTATTGTTACGGATATCAAATGTATCAAAGGCCAATTCACAATATGAAATTTTTATCTCCTTTTTTTTTCCTTACTCTAAAAGTCTAATTGTATGCAATCTCTGTTCTATGAGAAAAATCTACATCTTATAAACTAACCCAACATAAAGTTTTGTAAAGCCATCATACCTGGAGATGGAACTGTCTTGGGCTGTGCAGTTGGATTTGGATGATTGGCCGGAGGAAGAAGCACTGGGGAAAAAACAAGTATATAATCAGTGACCATGATTTTGCTCGAAAATACTGTCAGAAACCTGATCATAATCAGCTAAATACCTGGAAGGAGCTGATTGTAGCCACTATGTCCACCGCTGAGTCTAGCTAAAATGCCAAGAATTGGAGCATTGTTATAGGTAGCAGGCTCAGTCTGCTCGTAATTGTCCCTTTCATCAGCAAAGTTGTCATAGGCATCAGGTCCACCCACAAGGGCGCCAGTGAGGAGGTTGGGGTCGCTTGCCTTCCTGTTATACCATGTTGCATAGCCACCCCTGCAGCTGACAAAGGCAGAATTGACCTTGATTGAAACAATGGAAGATGCCCTGTGGTGAACTTGTCGTGGGTAATTGTTTCCATATCCCACCATGTAACTCGTGGCTCTCGGATTGTCCCCAAGAATGTAATCCACCTGGTTGAATTTGATTTCAAACCCCATTTAGGCATTTCGTCGAACAGTTAACAGACATACACCACATTCAACGACGAGATGATTACGACACAATTCCCATTTGAAGAAAACCATACGAACCTGAGATTTCGCAAAGGCGATAAGTTCGGATGGTTGGAGGTTGCCGGCAGCGCACTTCAAGCTAGCGCCAGAGGAAGAGAGATAGTCGGAGTAGACGGTGGCGAGGAAGGAAGCGCTGGTAACGAACTGCATGTTGTTCCATCTCTGACGGAAGATGAGACCGGCGGGCGTGGTCTGAACATTGCGAGTCCCTTTCCTCATGCAAGAGCACAAGAAATTTTCAGCCTTCTCCTTGTACCTCTGAAACACCGGCGCGTGGTGAGCCGCTCTTCCTTGCATCAAGAACTGCAATCCACCATCAAAATCACAATTACAACTTCAATATACAGAGCTTAATAAAAGTTCATAGATGAGAATAAAAGGGTCTGCAATTTTTCATTTTATAAAGGAATAAAACAAAAGAAACCTTGGCAACAAGGGTTTGAACACCAGCATATTTGACATCCCAGCCAAATTCAGTCATGCTCCAACCAGTTCCTCCCATGGAATCACCATTTTCTCCAAGGTAATTCAAGTAATATTGGTTGTTTGTTGCTTCATAAAGCCACGCAGCTGCCCATAATAACTCATCCTGCAAAATCAAACACAAACATTCCCGCCATCACCATAAATTCAATTCTTCTCATCCTTAACTAAGGGCCGAAAGGAAGACGGTGAACTGGGCGGGCTTACAACAAGCGGCCCATTCACAAGAAAATGGGCTGACTCGGAAGGCCCAAAAAAATATGGCCCATGTAGGCCAAATTCAGTCCCCAGAAAATAACGGGAAAACAAAAAGAAAAAAGAAAAAAGAAGACGATAATACGCACATTGTAGCCACTGACGGATCGATAGTACTTCTGGGCGACTGTAATGCTGCTGTCGTACTTTCCTCTGTATTTGTCTGCAAACTCGAACAGCTGAAAAAAAACAATATTTTATAAATAATCAAAATTAGTACCAGTAATGGCATTCACGTAATTTACCCATCCACATGCACGTGACCAAACAGTTCCCACCGACGGTTTCATCGAGTGACTAATTTTTTTGGAATTTTTTGCAATAATTTTTAAAATATTAAATTATCATTTTAGTCTTTATAATTTATAATAATTTAAATTTATTCTTATAATTTTTTTAGTTGGGTAAACCCTTCCAAAACAACTTCATAGCCGGGATTCAAACATACCAAATTTTAGTGGAAGATGTATGTCTTTACTTTTTAATGGTGTAAAATGGTATAAATTTATTACGTATGCATATTTAAAATCTAATAATAACATGGCATTATTGAAGATTTAACCAATGAGAATTTAATTTTAGTTCTTATAAAATAAAAATTAATTTTAAAAGAAAAAAACTTATCATCTTTTTAAGTAGACAAAAACAATTTTAAAAGAAAAAGGAAAAACAACGATTTGGATTAGAAATCTACATTAAATATAGCAATAAATAAACCTATTAATTACGGTAGTTTTGCTACCATGTGCCGTGGGGTAGCGCTAGCTTACGCTTCTAAATTTAATTTCCACTTTTTTTCGACAGATAATATTTTGTAAAATAAAAAAATATTATATAATACGGAAAAAGAAGACGGGTTTGCTGACCTGGCGGGCGTGGGAGAGGAGCTCGTTGGCGTAGCCGGGGTTATAGTGGCGGAAGACGACGGAGGCGGCGGCCATGGCGGCGGCGGTTTCTCCGGCGAGATCCGACCCGGGGTTGCTCGGGTCGATCTTGTAAGCTCGCCGGTCGGTGGTCATGTCCTCCGGCCGCTGCCAGCAGTAGTGGTCCGTGTTACCATCTCCCACCTAACAAAACCGTACATCAAATTGCTTTAAATTTCCCTTTATTATATAAATATTAATTATAAAAAAACTAATCTCAAATTTTTAGAATCTAATTTCTATATTTTTTGTTTTTAAAATATGACTACAAAACAAATAACTGTGTTAAAAATAATTTATATTATCTCATTTGATATTCCTAAAAAAAATCCCATTTGACAATTATTGTACTATTAGTTTCCCTTTTTAAAAGAAACAAGCTTATTTAACATCAAAGTTTTATAAGGTAATTAGAGAGTAGCCCCTAGAATGAGTTTAATTTGCAAATCACACCCATATGCTCTAAAAATTGACTTGAACACCCTGGTAGTTTACAAATTCTAAAAAACACACCCTTCTATTCTATTTAAGAAAAACACTTATATTCCTTTTTTTTAGTAAAACAATTTGGGAATAAAGGAAACAAAAACTACAAGAGTACATGTCAATTAACACCCAAGCCAAATGCATCAAGAAAAAAATAAAATATAGATATAGTTTGTTTTTTAAAAAATAATTATCAATTTTTTATTGATGGGATAATAATTAGTCAGTCTTGCTATTAATACCAATCTTGAAAGGAATAATTTATTCAAGTAGTCAAATATTACTATCTCTCGTATATCTCTCGTATAAGTTAGACCTAGTGTCTCCATGAATAAATAAAATACTAAACTTTTTATTTTCTTAATTTCTCTCTATCTCTCTCAACCAACATGATTGTTAAATCATACAAGTTTCTTGACCATTAAAGAAGCCACTACAGTTATCCACAAATAGTAAGTAAATTGGTCTGGAATAGTCGAGATATTAAATTACCAATTAACACRAAAACTTAAAACTAATGTGCTATAGATAAAATAACATTTGATTATTGAAATACAAGACTTACCATTCTAATATAGTATTAAATAATTAATGAATTTATAAATTTAAGTGCCAACGGGAGTATCGATTAATTTTCTAGAGGTTGGATGTTCATCCCCACGTTTAAGAGAACTTTATTATTATCAAAGGAGGTAAAAGTAAAGTGGAATTTATGGAGGGGTACCTCTCCGAATAGAACACTGGGTTCAGGGTGAGCCTTAATGAGGTAATCGGTGCCCCATTTGACGGCGTCTAGGGCATGGGCGAGTTCGCCATTGGCGCCCATTTGCTTCCCGTATTCAATAATGCTCCAACTCATCATCGTCACCGTGAACGCCATCGGCAATCCGAACTTCACATTGTCGCCGGCGTCGTAGTATCCTCCCACCAGATCCACCTGCAACGCACCACCAAAATCATCCATCTCTCACTTTCCCGTGAAAATCACACTCAATTTTCTCACCAGCCAAACAGAAACTCGAGAAGAAGAAGAAAAAAAAAAAAAGAGTGCCGTACCCCGCTGGCCTTGCCGTCGAGGAGGCCGGAGTTGCCGCGCCACGTGACCCGCTGGTTGTGGGGGAGGTAGCCGGATCTCTGAGCTTCGAAGAACAGAATGCTCTTTCTCAGGGCTTGGCCGTAGTCGTGGCCGGCTAGGGCAGAACAAGGAGCCAGAATCACCACCAGCAAAACCACGGCGGAAACGGAAATTTCCATCGGAATTTGAAGGAATCGTAGGGGGAAATGGCAATGCCGGTGGGATTTTATATGATTTATCAGCCGAAAAATGTAATCTGATAAATCAACCTGAAAACAGAGGACCCCAAAAGGGGAAACAGAGAGAGGGGGGGTGGGGAGTGTGGGGTGGGAAGTGGAAGAGAAGATGGGGGCACTGCGCACTATATAAGCCGTGGAAGGACCCCAAGATGGGCAAAAATGGCACACAATTATAATTAATTTTCCTAAGAAAAATAAATTTTTTTTTATAGTTTTATATTTTTTTATTTTCATTTTAACTAATTAAAAAACATAATACTCTTAACTGTGCTCTTTGTTTTAAAAATATCACCATCCTTTCGAAAGTTGAGTAGCATAATTTGTTACCAAATCTTGTTAGTATTTTCTTATGTTTTAACGGTGGATTAGTGCAAAATTAGATAGAGAAATGGGATGTTAATTGTCATTGGTTTCAGATTCTTCCYATATTAATGGATATTTGCTCGAATGACATTTTTGRAACGTTTATGAAAGTTTAACAATAATSTTGAAATTTTTTAAAAGATAAAGAATATTTTTAGAGTAAAGAGCAAAGTTTAGGGATAGTTACGTAATTGAGGCTTATATTAATTTGGTTTGGAGGGATTGATGAGAACAGTTGAAAGAAAAGGAAAGGGCATGTGGGTGTCCTTAGTTCTTGACTGGGTAGGTCGGTGTGCAATTAATGGGTAATTTAATTCTTTTGGGTAAAAATTTCAGAAATTTTAATTACAAATTTACAGTTACACAGAAGAGAGAGATAGTTTACGAGGCAGTGGTTGTTTTCAGGTCAGAAAATTACCAAAAGAAGAAAAGCATGAAAAGTGAGCTGCCAAGCTCAAACAGAGGAAGAGTCAATTTTATTAAAAGAAAATGTCTTTTATTTGGTCTCCTTATTATTTATTTCCCAATTTGTCTCTTTTTTCCCTTCGGTGAAAATTCGAATACTAGGCCTAAGAAAAAAGTTAAAGTTAAAAGTTGCAACAATTATCTAAATTTAAAATTTAATTTTATAAAATTAAAAGTTCTAGGAAAAAGTTACTTGTCTCAAGTTCATATTCAGTTTTTCTCTTTACAACACCACCCCATTTGCAGTTGTTTAGAAACTATTTTTATAATAGTTTTTTGCTTTCTAAATATTTTATATAAAAAAAAAGAATAATGTCCGTTAGTAACTATTTTAACCTCTTTTGTTTCTTTGAGTATGTTATTAAAAATTATTTATTTTCCAATAAATAAATAAATTTACTATTCCTACTCCAATTATAAATTTGTGATCAGTGTTTTCAATGTAAAATGACACTAATTTTGTTAGAATAGATTTGAAAAACTAAATAATAAAAAAATATTATTCATGTCGATTCCTACCAGCGTCACATACATGTTACGAATGTGTCATATATATCTTCGTCTCCAAATCGTAGGTTACTTGTACACAGAAATTAAGTACTCTTGTGGTGCTTTGCCTAATACAATCCAAAGTTAAAACTCTAASTTATTATCAAATAGGTAGGAAGATGGGAGTTTGTCCGAGAGTGCGTGTCTAAATTCTTACGAAGATTTGTGTATGAAAGTTGACTTGATAGAGAAATTAAGAAGGTGCGTAGCTAGGTGGCATGATACGTCACGGTCCCACCAAAGTGGACACGAAARCATCCAAAGTGATTGTTTACCGTATATCGCAATCAATTTAGTAAATAAGACACATGTTACTTTTTCTAATTTTGAAAGGTTAATTTCACCCCACATTTCTTAAACTATTAACAAAAATCTAAAACTTTTCAAAATCATTTATATATATATATATATATATATATATATATATATATATATATTTTGCAAAATATTTAGGAGCTAGACTGATAATTGTAATTGCATTATATTTTGTAATCTACTTTCCTTTTGTTAAAATAAAAATAAAAAGAACTCATAAAGATAGTTTTGTTATTTGTTTATTTTAAAAAAAAAATTGGTTAGGAGTCCAAAATATTGGACAAAATAAATAACTAATAAATAAATCGTTATGCTTTCCTCCTTTGTACGATATTCTAAATTGAAGGATTTAGAAAGAGATTCAAACAAAATTAAAAAAACAAAAAGAAAAAAAGAGAGCCCTCTATAAGAAAAACCAAAACGATTTGAAGTACAAAGATATAATTTATATTAAATGTAAACACTGTTTAATTTATTATTGTATTTAATGTTGTATTATTTAAAATATTTAATGACCGTCTAAAATATATTTATACAATATTTATTTTTTAGTACGATAAATTGGGCCTATAAAAATTTCAACGTTGAACTCCAAATAAAGAAATATATACTAGTTAGTGTTAAGTTATGTGTTGAATTCAATTTTTCTAGAAAAAAAGAACAAATTCAATTACTAAGGCAAAAATAAGTATAACTCAACAGTAATTAACATATATCTCAAATTATGAGATTGTAAGTTCGATTTCCACCCCACATGTTGTAAAAAAATCAATTACTGATGAAAAATAATAGCCAATCAATCTAAACAACTATCTCTCTCTTTGTTTTATCAATTTTAAACCAAATTGAATTACCCAAAATATATCAATGGGGTTTGCACTTTTTATTTTCCAAATTAATGTTATATAAACGGCAGGTTCTAACACCTCTCTTTTAATATAATGTAATTTAATATTAAAATTAAGTTAATTTTTAAAACCATTTAAAAATGACTGATTCATAAAGTATATTTGAAAAAATAATTGAACTGATGATATTCCCACTTGTTTATTAATGATTTAATCTATTTTGTTTAGAATTGAAAACTAAAAAATAAAAACTTAATTTAAGAAAAAATCGTTGCAATTAAAGACTATTTTTCTAAATAGAAGAGAGAACTCCGGCTCTGTACGTGGCAATATTGTAATATTCTTTTATCAGGAAGGCTACTATCGTAATTTCGCGATTGCCTTCCGGACACGAAGAGTGACCTGTATTGAGGATTCGATAGCCCGACAACCCGACAAACAGCACTTCTCCGTCGTTCATTTTTATTTTTTTATTATATTTATTTTTTCTCCATTAACTAATATTTTACAAGTCCACCGACAGTATGAAAATTATTAAATAATGGCGCTACTAATTTTTATTTTTCATTTTAATCATACGTTATGGATACTTGTGTAAAAAGAAAAAAATGGATTTATTTTGATAATATGAGTTATAACCAACAGGTTGACTCTAAATTTTGTTTATAGCGTACAAAAAAAAATTACAAAGTAAATTTAGTCATTTGAGCGTTTTTTATTTCCCTAAGTGAATAAATACTATAATTAACTGTGCGTAAAGACAAATAAAATCCATTTTTTAAAGTATTGAAAAAGAGAGCATCTATAAACTTAGTGGAAAGGTCGTTTACTCAAAACAAAACAAAAAAGCATGGAAGACAAATACACCCACAAAAGAATTCTAACGAAATTACTTGCAGTATCAATAAAATAACTATATGTGTGTTGGCTCAGGAAAATATATAGGCTTAAAATAATTATTTATAATTTTGTGATTTTGGAGCAAAAATAATTTCAATTATTTTAAAAGATAAAGTTGATCGTGAATATAGATTGATAAGATGTGAGGGATATAACTCCAAAACTAATGTCCTCAAATATGGTTTGTTGAATGTTTGTAATAAAAAGTAGAAAATATTTGAATGTTTGTAATAAAAAGTAGAAAACTATTTTCTATGATAACAGGAAAACGATTAATAAACTAGTTATTCATGAAACTTTWAAAAACATATATTTTGTCATCTAATAGATATTCTGTAACGTTGGTACATTAATACATATATTCAAAATTATATTAGCAATCAATTTAAGTAATGGATGGTAAGCTAGCGATAAGAACCTATATGATTTTGTTTTTCTCCGATTCGTAGACTTAAAATAAATATTATGACAATTCAATAACGAAAATATAACTTATTTTAAAGTTTAACAACTAAAGTGGAATAATTCTTATAATTCCAATACCAAAATGGAATCACTTTTAAGCTATATTGTAAAATATGGTTGCTAGAAAAGTTATTTAACCAAACTTATTCAAACAACTTTAAAAAACTCCAACAAAAAAACTATAAAAAGAATTGATAGAAAATAAAAGCAATTAAATTAATTTTTAAAAGGAAAGGAAAGGAGGGGGAGAGAGAGAGAGAGAGAGAGAGGAGGGCAAAGAAGGAAAATGACAAAAGAAGATACGGTCAAAAAGATCGGTGCTTGTCAGAATGCTTTATTCCCAACCGCAATCAACGGTCTCCACAGAAAAAGAGGTTACCAAAATTATATTAAATTGTCATTATTTATTTTTTTCTTTTCTAATTATGCAGAAATTAACATATTTAATCTAAATTAAACAAACGGGATTACCTGACACGTCAAATGGGGTCAAAGCGGCAAGCTCCCGTGATGACCGGTTGCGCCGGTTATGTGACGGCCTCGGCTGCCATTTCTGCCGCTACTTTTACCCGTTGTCGGAGGTTGTCTTTAATATTTAATAAATACTCTTTTCAAGAATCTGTAAATTACTGCTATTTACTTTTGCCGCTTCCCTCGTTCCAATTAATATCATCCTTTATGTTTTTTACCTTTGTATTTAACTTTGTCAGTTAAAATTTAATTTTCTGCTTTTATTTCTATSAAATTAAACTTAAATAATATTCTAATCTTTTTCATGGAAGATTTTCAAAATGGAATCAAATCATCGACTTTGGAGATAGTGATTATTATGGGATAATTAAGTTGGACCCGACAAATAAGATGCAAGCCCAAAAGCAAAAAAGAAAGTTMGAGCGGGACCCAAGTGAGAGAATAGTAGAGACCTAAAGGACCAAGTGGTGAACTGTGCCACAAATCCAACCACCAGAGAATCGATATCTTGTCATTCAGGTCTCGGTCAACTAGATCTCAACCTCCACTACCCCGTGCTTGTTTCCTGCACGTCGCCAATAAACCTGATAACGAGCTGACTCCTTCACTCTTGCTCCACTCTTGCCCGCGACGACGCCATCCCCTATTAAAAAAGAAAAGATATCCTACTAACTTGAGTATTCCTATAAACCTTAGGATTCTCACATCCATAAATAGGGAGAGCGACCT